TTCACTGTCTCACCACTGCATGGGCTGCAAAACCCACGGCAGAGACGTCTGCACAAGAACCCCAAGAGCTACCTCAGTGAAACACTCCCTGCAGTCCAGAAATGACCCTTCGATTGCAGCTGGCATTAAGAACCCACTGCTCACACAAATGACCACTTCAGGCTCCCCTGCTAAACCTGACAAATGCCTTCTGCCTCCCTCTCCTCCCCCAAAATTGCCAGTCAATATTAAGGGCCACCAAACAATGCTACTGAGCCGCTACAGCTGTGCTCAGAAACAGGTTTATCCTGGTAGGGGTCGTTTTGGTTTGGGGCATTTTTTGTTTGTTGCCCTCAGACGACAGATAGGGTAGGTGGGAAGGGCCAGTCTGCCTGCGGCTAGAGGTGGCAGAGAGGAGGCTTCTGTACCAGCTTCTATGTTGCTGGGCACCAGAGAGGAGAACAAGGAATGACAATAACCTGCTGCTGAAGCCTGGATTCCAGCAGGATCTCTCCCTCCATCTCACCTCAGGCCCTGGGCCTTTCAAACTGCAGCAGGTACAGAGAGGACAGTGAAAAAGGTTGGAGACAAGGTTCTTGCAAGTAGAATTGAGCAAGAAACAGCTTTCCTAGTAAGCATTATAAAATTATTTCTTTGTCTCTAGGGATATTATTTTCCCCAGAGAGTTTACATGGAAGATAAAAACCATACTCAGGAGCGCTTACCTTCCTCTCTTTCTTCTGAAACCGTTTCAAATCATACCTTTATGATCTGGCATCCTGGCTAGCTGACCTATGCTTCAATGCTTCCACAACGAATTTATCCACGTACTACTGAATCCTCACTTGTGTTTATCTTAGATTACACATCCCATGGTTTTGGGGACAGGATGCTTTACAATTCTCTCCCATTCAGCAATGGGAACTGCTGAACACCCTAACCTAGAGGAAAATTGCAACAAGGTACTTTAAAATCAAGTTAGCAATGATTTTCCCCTGTGCTCTCTGCCCAGAAGGAAGCCTGGAGCACCCCCAACCCGACCAGCTACAGCCCAATGCTCCTCCCACCTCTGTCCATGAAGCCGAGCTACAACCCACACTCATCTAGTTAAAAACCCAGCTTAACTGTGAAATCCCGGCATAGCGCAGTCAGTAATCAGTGGCCAAGTTAGTTTCGCTATCCTGTTGCTTGCTATTTTTAACCATTAAAATTCGAGCCCTTTAGAGTAAGCCAATGTTATTTTTGTTATTACAGGTTTAGAACACTAGCCAAAGAAATTCAGGTTCATTTTCTAATGAGTGTTTCGTTTCCTCTACATGGACTCGTACAATCGCCCACCTTCATTCATTCATTCAAAAATCGTGTTTAAATGCATTCATGAATGTTGTGATTTTCCCAGCCAATCAGATTGCATTTCAGACATTTTTTTTAAGCTACAAAGATCAGAAAAAAGTGTTTTTCCCAAATGAAAACCAGCATTCTCACATAATCTTACCACTGCCAAATGCTGGAGGCTTGTCACAGACAAAAGTTGGAGCCGACAACACTGCAAAACGGTACCAAGTAATCCAAGATGGACATAGCTCATTTTGTGCTACAGTAGATGAACTTCAGCAAGTACTATGAGTTATGGAAAGTCCACCATTAGCATGGCACAGTGTGGCAATGCTAATGGCTCTGTGTGTGTGTGTAACACACCCACGTGTCTTTTACACGTACAATGTTCTGATTCCACAGCAGAGTAACACATTTGGCCATGAAGCCACAGTGCCAGGGGTAGTTTTAAATCATGGCAGGACGGATACAGTCACTGGTATCAGCCCAGCTGCCTGCGTGAGATGAGCTGACAGCAGTTCAAGCCGCCACGCAACTGTTTTACCACTGCTGTGTTTAACACACACACACTTTGCAACAATTAACATTTGCCAGATTTAGTCAACTCAAGAAGCCAGATTAAAATAAAAGGGTTTATCGTCACTGGTTTAATGCCTCCTGTACAGCAATCCCTCTGCTCCGAACATTAGTACACGTTTCGATTCTGAAAATGTAATTTTAAAGAGACCGAAACTGCTTTAGGCAGCCAGCTTTTGTCTTTTTCTTCAGTTGACGCATTACGCATAGGTCACTGCATTTTACAGAAAAAAAAAAAAAAAGAGGTTGGCTTAAAAAAAATAAATCTGCACTTCTCACTGATTTTAAACTCTGCAGAAAGTCTTTAAAGACCAGATGAGAAGGACAAGAGCTAGTATGAACACAACTATTTCTAGATTCAGAAATAATTATAGCACAGAATCTAGCTATCACTACGTCAGAATGTCCACACTTTATGTCTGGATATTTGAAAAGACTGACATAATGAACACTGCAAAGATACTAAACAAGCTGAAATGAAGACAGACAAAAGTATTTTTTTATATAAAAATGGTCTTTATTTCTTCAATACAAGGTAAACTACTATTGCAGTTTAAGACCAACACAAAAGTTGGACAGCAAATTGCTTAACAGTCTCCTAAAGGCTGAAAAAAAGAAACCCATGAAAGCTAAAAGTTATGCAATATTTCAAGTATAACATCTAAAAAAGATGAAATGATCCTTAAGCTCAACTAAGTACCTCTGCTGAAAATGTATTAAAATCCACATTTGCTTGGATACCATCTTACCTTGTTGAGAAATATAGGTCTTCAGAAACCCAAGTATTCAACAGACTCTCTGGCCTGCCAGTATCAGGAAACTGTTTACTATATATATGTGTGTATATATATATATATATATATAAAATCCTTTGGAGTCAGGCATTCTGACAGACATCCATTTCCTTACATTTTGCATTGCAATTCTGCATTCCACCTTAGACAAGCCCCCTGCTGCATTTCAAAACCATTTCTTGAATAGTTTACTCACGCATCCTTGCGCAAAATGGGAATCAGGAAATGGAATGGTACAGGAAGACAATACAGCCTTTTGTTTAGAAAGTCAGCAGTGCTGGTAATCATTGTAAAAACGTCAAGGTTTACCAAATAGGAATGTATTTCACCTTTAAAACACTTGGCTTTTTTTTTTTCCTTTCTTTTTATTTTAAAAAAAGGACACCTGCAGTGGTAAGGAAACTGAGTTTGCAGTCATTTGAATTTATAAAAGCACGCACATTCCTCATTTTCTTACATTTGAAGATCAAGGGAATGTCTGTTTCATAATGTAATAATAATATGCACAGTTTAAAATACTTTCTATTACAAAATACAGTATACAAGAGGGTGAGGCCAAAGTCTATTACTTGAATATACTCCAAAGTGTTCGCACTGAATCATGTAAAATCACATTACATGGTATGAATAAATGGGAATTTTTACAACTTAAATGCTCCATTTCATTGGGATCAAAGGTATACTGTTCACTGTTTTCAAGAGACTTCAGTAAAACTAGTGTATTTCCAAAGAAGCTTTAAAAGATTTAAGCACAGATACAGGTCATACCAGAACCTAAAACCTGCTGCCATTAACTGAGGCTATAGAGAGGATTTGAGAACTAACAAGCGCATAATATACAAATAGAATGAGATGCTTTATCTATTTTGTCCAACATGGGGAAAAAAAAAAAAATCCCACGAGAACATCAAATTGAGGAATTTCTACGCTCCAAACTGCTCCTTAGTAATTCACCCTCTAAAGCTAAAACAAATCTAAAAGTACACAGCATGTCAGATCTTAATTTGGGTGGAGGTGAGGGACAAACAACAAAAAACCCCACCTCGACACCCCCACCCACCCCAAGCCTGTCTGCAATATTAATTGCAAGGCATCATAGTAAACAGTTGCACGAGACAGTATTTCTGCATAAACATCATGACTGATTAGCATGCTGCAACCATTACGTTTAAGACTTATGCAGTCAACTGCCAAAATAATTTAAACCCTAAACAAATCCCTGTTGCTTCTTTCCTACATCAAAATACGTGTTCTGGGAAGAACTCAATCTTCTTTAAGCACACTGACCTGTGCTTTCCTTCTCTAAGATCTTGAAGGGTTTGTATTTCAATGCAGAAGCAATTTAGTGTCTTGGATCTCTGAAGAGTACCAGTCCTAAACACGCACATTTTATATTTGGATCTACATGACTAACAGTATCCTAATGAGCATTATGTTAGGAAACTTAAGGCTGTATCTCAGTTTACACAAGAATCAATGGTAACTTTAAGAGGCTACGTATAAAATTCTGTAAATAAAAATAGGAGCAAAGTCTGTTCAACCTGTACATGGAGAGCAAGTGGATAAGAAAAGGAAATCAGGAATTAAGGATTTCTATAAAGAATACCATGTATTTTTACTAGAAACACAGATGACAAGTATATACAACATTTAAATCTCCAGTTATCCACATACAACTAGGAAAACATTTACAAAGGTTTGGGTACGCAACTAAACAATCTGGTAAAAAAATACAGTTAGAAAAACTAAGCCTCACCAATTTCAAAGGAACAAAAATAGAAAACACTCGCTCCTTAACAAACAAAAAAATCCCAAAAAACAAGCTAATGCCTAAATTTAATAAGATACCTTTTTTAACACAAAACAACAGCTACCCAAGCTTATAAGCCACACAGTCAATAAAAATTTGAAGAAGTTCTGACAAACTTTTTTCAAAATGCAATCAGAACTAAGATTATTGGCACAGAAAGCAAAAAGGGAATGAGGAAAAAAACACAAACTGTAGAGTTTCCAAAATGCTATGTTCTTCTTCTGAAGAGTATTTTTGAACTGTCAAAACATATAGTCCAGTAGAAATTTCACTTTAAAAAAAAACCCCTCTACTTCTAAAAAAACCAAACCTCCAGTAAAACAACTTCTGTTGCTAAAGCACTGCCACACCCCTAAGTCACTACTTGTTGGTTTTGTCTTTCAAGATAAAGGGCACAGCCTTAAGGTATCATTTTCAATGTTACTTATAAAATCAATATTTGAAAGAAATAAAGTATTTCCTCACAGACTATCTTACCCTTTCATCAGCAAAAGGAGATGAAATACAATTGGACGAAGATCAAAGAGCACAGCAGTAGCCATCACGGCATCATCACCAGTCAGTAAATTACCAAGCTGCTATTTCCTGAGCATGCACAGGAAACTGCCAGTAACATCTAATAAACCAAAACCTGGTAAAAATTCTACTACAGATCCAGTTACATAGGATGTGCATTAGACATATTCCTTTTTGGTGTCTATCAGGGTCTTTGGAATTTTTCTGTAAATTTTTTTTGTTTCATTTAAAAAAAAATCTAACAAATGAAGCTCACGGTAAAGGAGAGTATCACCTAAACTGCAACATAGTACATCTATCAGTTAAAACTAAGTATTCGGAGAACAGGCAGAAATAAGGGGCTTCATACAGGGACCTCATCTCTCAAATCACAATGATTGCTCGGTTTAACTTAGTTTATTTCCCCCCTGCTATTCCCTCCCTGCTATTTCCACTGCCAGCAATGGAAATCTATATGCGAGTGAGAAATTACACTCTCTGTAAAAAGAGCAACAGTCTCCTTAGATCTATTTCAGTGTGGAGTAAAATATCAGTTCCTGCATAAAATACTTGTAAATTTACTCTTTTATTTTAAGATTTAATATATCTATGCAATGGAACATTACTTACCTGCTGCCTCTCCAGTATTAGCTACTCCCCATGTAACAGCTACAGGCAGGTTATTTCTTCCTTAAACTTACTACACACAGCAGTAAACAATGTTTTTAAGTAAAGGAAAAAAAATTACAACAGTACCATTCTGTTTGTAACCAACACCTATTCACAAAAAGCAGGAAATGAGTCATGACTTGTTTCATACAACTTTCAATTTTACAAAATTTTAAAAGGCAGTTTTCATTTGCAAACAGGATTAAACAAACAATGGCAAATACCTTCTCAGTAGCAAATAGTTCAATAAACACCAGTGATCCCATGCATGAGGAACCGAGGTACACAATTTAAGGGAGGAAAAAAAAAAGGGGGTGGGGGGAAGAAGTCTGAAGCTATAGCCAAGTCCCACAGCATCATCCTGGCTGCAGGAAACCCTGGCTGAGTGGTAGGTGACAGAAATATTAGAGCATTTCAGACTTACGCAAAACTTGGCAGTTGCACAGGCTACTGGTCCCAACTCAGTAAAGCATAAAAATCACTCACTTATGCAAATAAGGTTCTTAAGGCATAGTTTTACATTCCTGGAAATCTCTGGAATGTAAGCACATGCTTTAAATGCTCTGGAAAACCAAATGGATTTAAGTGCTTTCCTGAACAGGGTAACATTTTAGGTTGGCTGTAAAATCTTTAAAATCGGTAAAAGGAAAAAAAAAAAAAAGAGAAATCAAGAGTTGTCTGAGAACTGTCCCTTAAAGCCATCTGAGGTCTTGAAACTTAACTTAAAACATTAAGTGCAGCTATTTGAGTAAGTGACAACTCCATGAAGAAGTCTGTCACATAATGATTTACAATAGACTAAAAGTGAGCCTTCGCGCAAGGCTGCCAGAAACTAAGTTTTTGCAACTTACATGAACTTTCTATTTGCTTGCATTTCACACTTAATGAAATTTAAAACAAATTCTTACAATTTGAAGTCAACTTTCACTCCAGTAATTTGTTTTTAGGTAAATTTACAAAACCTCATCTGACAGATTTAGTTGGCGCCACTTTTTGCTGAGACATTTAAATATTGCCCATCACTGAACAAGGACATACAAGTGTACCTTCTCTTTTATATGCATGTGTGAATAAACCCCGAAGCATTAAGAAAATACCAAACCCATAAAGTCTGAAAAATGGGAACATCTGGTTTCTCCTGGCACATTTCTGATATACAACTATGTACAGACTGCTACGGCCTTGGGGGTGGAGGGGGAACACACACAAGCACTATTACTATAAAACTGTAAACAACTGCAGGGTTTTGTTTTTTAAAGCTAACCTTTCCACCCCTTATTATGGACAGTTTAAGTTGACAGGAACAGTGTTAAGTTTATATTAACTGTAGTGTCAATCGGGATCAAGGCTGTACGAGAGAGAAAATTTTCAGCACGCTAAAATCAGAGACCTGGGACCACCTCTCCTCCAAACAACAGACCACAGAGAGCTGCAGTTTTTACAGTTTTATATGTCAATTAGCAAGTTCACAAGCCACCTAGGTAAACACTGCTAGAAAGCAAAATAGCATTAAAGGTTTTATGTAACCACCTATTTTCATATCAAAATTGAATGTGTGAGAGCAACATTAGTATGTTTAACTCACTGAATGCAAGATTAGGTTGAGGCATATGCAAGAACTATTGCGATGTTTTTAAAGACAGCATCAATGTTTTCATTGTAACATTATCTTTAAATATTGCTGAACACAAGACTTTCCCTGAGGTGTAAACATCAAATAACTTGAACAGCTTTACACATCAGCCCCATTAAACAGTTTATTACAACACTACAGCTACTGTAATCAAAGTGGTGCTGTGTACAGACATTATCATATGAACAGTTTAACATGAACAAACTACTATAAAAACAAGCATTTACTTGACTTTTTCCAATTGCTTGCACATTATAATTGCCAAATGTATATAACCAGTAATAAAGTTGCAAAAGCTATAAGGTTTAAATCACACAGGTTTCCCTCAAATAAAACAGTTAAGCAACATAAAAAAGTAAAAGAGCTACTGGTTACCATGTATGCAGATTTGCTTTATTCAGATCTATTCCTGTTCATTTTATCCATGAATCCTTACAGGCTCAGTTCAATCACATGAAGCAAACTGCTGGACAAGCATCTTTCCTTGAAGAATGTATCTTGTCTTGCACGATGTTCCTCTTCCTTCAGCTGTAATGTGTCAAAATTTGTGATGTAGATTTTGCTAGTCCCCATAATACACAGAAAATTGTTGGCTTATCTATACATACACAAGTCGTGCATCTACTTCACCATAACGTAAACTAACACAAAATACCCGGAAGCAGTAGCTACTTGTTTGTGCATGAAATTGTTTTCTAATACAACAGTTAAAAATAAAATTAATGTTGTTGTACAACAAAGTTGAAAGAATGTAAATTTCACAGTTGAAGTAGCAAATGATAAAGGAAGAAACAGGTACTGTTCCTGTGACTGATGGAAACATTTATATAGAACATTTCCTAAAGTAAGCATTCTGCAGGGGTAAATGAACAGGCACGTAAGGTAATTCTGCCACAACTAGATTTTTTACATTTTTACCTGCCCACTTACAGAAGTTTTAAGCTGGTTTGACATTTAAGTAATGCGCTGATTGTATAATGAAGTGGATGGCTCACAGCTCAGTGACATTTAAAAGTGCACAGAATCTGATACCAGTACTTCAAAATTTTCAGACTAGTAGTGGCAAGCAGGATGGGCTTCACACAGCTAAAAATACACGCTTGCAGTTTAATCGCAAGAACCCACTTTTCAAGTAGTACAATATAGATTTGCAGGTTTCCTCACCTACTTGAAAAAACCCAAGCCCTACTTCCTATGCTCATCTATTTTGGCAAATTAAGGAACCACACCATTCAGAGTTAATTACCGTAAGAGTTCACAAAATACTTGGGATGGTATAATTCCATACACTGGATTTCAGTTGAATTCCATTACAAAACAATTAGCTAACTTCATTTCATTAGTAATTCACAATTTCAACATTCAATAATTTCAAAATAGCTCAAGTCAAATTGTTCAAAAAAACCAACACATTAAATTGTTCATTTGAAAAACACGACATTTAGAGGAGCAATTTCATGAACGTGCACCAGTACACAGCTGTCAAATATTCTTCTACCAGTGTAATAATTTCAAAGCAGTTGGGAAAACAAAGTACTCAATTTTTGCAGGAACAATTGACACATTTCTTCCTTTCCTCAAAGTGACTGTCAATAATAACTTTAAAAAATACATACAACCAAGCAGGCTCTACACACTACAGTATGCACATAAATAAGCCAAATCTGAAGCAGTGACTGGGATTTCTTTTCTTATTCACAAACTTTGTTCCCGAGCCATGAATGTATCAGCCAGTAACTGCTTTTGGGGAAGTCCCTTGCCCAGAGGCCAAAATTTCCATAGGTCTTACGTACTTTTAAAATTAATTAGCAGCAAAGTGACAAAGCGCTGCCTCCACAAGAAGATGTGTTCAGAGCTGCGAGCTAAATTAGCAGGGACACGGAAGAATCTCAGGTTTTTTAGTGGAGAAAGTAAGTATATGACAGCTGTGAGACTGTGGGTCAGAATTTGCTGCTCTCATCATACAATTGCTGCGGCAAGAATTATGGATCTTTACCACTTCTATGGCGACGGTTAACAGATCCAAAGCACCATATATATATGATTAATAATACTAGCATGAGAAAGCTTCAGTTCCTGGGAATAATCTGCTAGATTTGTATGGGTACTTATGGAACTACAGGAACTTTAAAGAATGCATGATAAACTGGATTTAGGATTAATGCTTTTCAGGCTTTTAAGACCGTCAGCACCACACTGAACCTTCACTTCGAAAAACATGACCAACTAAAATCCAAAATGGTGTACATTTTGGTTCCAAGTATTGTGCCACTGTATCTCGGCAAAACCAGAAACCTTTGTGGTTCCAAAAGGAAGAAATAAATCTGTATGGATTATACCTTCATGCTCAGCCCTTTTCAGTATTCTACAAGCAAGTTCTTTGCAAAGCTCTTTCCATCTGCCTCAAGCTCATATAAGCTATCTGTCCCAAGCACGTGTTAGGTTTGTACAATTTAACACCATACAGCAATCAGTTTCTCAGCATTTCTATTAATAAACCCCAAATTTCAGATTTATCTGTTAAATAGTTATTTTGTGGTTTAAAAGTTAGGGTTTTATGCCAGAACATTTCACAAATGAAATCCCAGAACTTAAGTGATCAAACATTTTTGTATTTATGCAAGATGCAACTTGAGCATTGCTTTTCACAAAGACAGACTCTTACAACAAAAACCAATAGATTTCTTATATATATAAAGCATCTTGCAGTAGCAACTAATTTTTTTCTTTAATTCCAGTTATCCAAATAAGCACACAGAAGCTTTAAACAGCTTTTAAAGTGTGAAAATTCTACAGTAGTTTAAATCTGTATGTGCGTACACCCCTCAAGCTTATAGTAGTGTATTAATGACTGATATTTTCAGAGATTGAATTTCAATCTCTCAACATGTTCACATTTCAGGAAAATGCATGATACACATTTGTCATTATATCCTAATAGCTCCTAAGAATTAGGTCATGTAATTCTCCTTTATTTTATTCTACACAAAGAAAAAACACACAAAGCAAAAATCCCAAAGAAGGTATCAGCTTCAAAGCCAAAAGTTGTTTTAATTTAACCTACATTCCAGAACATCACAAACTTCCAAATACTGTGATGCTTTAGCTATAACGCAGCAAGAAATAAGGAATTTCAAGCTTGACTCTACATTTACCTTTCTGTGTAAGCTGAGATACATATGTGATTCTGTTCATCATACATGTACAAACAGACTATTTTACCACCACTAGCACCTTCTTCCATTTGTTGCATATTTTTTCCCCCTATTACTAGTGTACTTACCTTGTATCTTTGTTCAATCTTAGTGGATAATTTAAGATCAACACCAGAACAATTTCCTGATTTTATAAATAATTTTACATGGGAAGAAAAAGAATGCTCCCAAACTAGTTTCATTCATCATATGTCTTTCTCCTACTACCCCAGCCTGTCTATTCACCAAAATCAACTGATGAACAGAGAGGTGTGTTCAGAAAACTTAACCTTTAGTTTACAAATTAAAAAGGTGTGAATTACTGGCAAGTATCTTTCACATTAATATGAGGAAGACACAAAAAGGTAGATTAGGCTGCCACAGGAAAACATAAAAATGAAGATATCCCTCTTTTTTTTTTTGTTAAAAGAAATCTTAGTTCTCAAACCACAATAAGCAAAGGAAAAAAAACCCAGAGTTGTTCATTCTTTGGAGAACACTGTATCAAACCAACATTTTTCACTTGCAAGTAACTTCTTTGTGTTGCAAATGCTATAAAGCCTTAAAGTTTCTTGGGGAGCTTTCACACAGCTCGAATTTGTCAAAGCTAGTGATTTCACAAACAAAAGAAAAAAGCACAGAATGTGGGGAACAAAAAAAAAATAAGCATGTCTAAGGACACCTCAGAAGACAACAAAATTACAGCAACATGTTCATGGAAAAAAATTAATAAAAGCTGTGCAGTTATGCATTTGAAAATAAACAATAGCGTAAAATTTTCAGTTTGTTTTTTGAATCATCACTCTCAAGAAAGTGAGAGAAATCACTGAACATTAAGAAACAAACTGTATGTTTCTGTAAAGTACCACAGTAGCCATAAAATAGCCCTTAAGCAGCACACAGAACAGTGGCACTGCTTGCCTCTTTCACTCGGTGGTGGATTTCAAATACTGAATCAGATGCACAGAGCACGATTTCTCTGATGAATGCTAGATGCAATAGAATAGTGCCAGCCCCACATATGCGCTTCCTCAAAAATACATAATTTTAAAAAGAGAGATTAGGTAAATAGTGTTCATAATGGCTTAATACTAAGATGATCTGAAATAATCCTAGACAGGTACATGTAACCAGGTCTTGAACAATGCTACCACATGATTCACTTAAAATTCTGCTCTTAACTAGAAGCTTATTATTTTAACAACATACAAAAATGGGCATTTTCCTATTAATTTACAAGGTTTCTTAAAAGGCTAATTTCATACTTCACTTGATGTTTAAGTGGTTGCTAACACACTGTTACAGGACAGTTCCTACTTATACAAGCAAAAATATGATTAATATTACTTAAACTATCAGTAACATTTCCCCTCCTACTGACACCAAAAAAAAAAAAAAAATCCAACCATGTTAGTTCTTAGATCACTCCAAAGCTGAAACTGTTTCAGAGAGCTGAGAGCGGTTTTTGAAGAAGCGTGAGAGCCTCAGAAGTACATTAGACTTCAAATTATTTTGCTTACAGTGGTTTGAGAGCAGAAAAATCAGAGAAAAAACATGAAATATGGAGTACAAAGTCTACATACATATCAGCTGTTACAATGTTAGTGTGGTTTTGTCTTCGCAACTCAGTCCAAATCCAGTTTAAATAGGAAATAATCCATCAACCCAATAACAAAAACATAAAATGAAAAACTTAACATTCAGCAGTTATAGAAATTCAGACAGATTAAGATTGGGACAAGGATCAGCTAGAAATACATCACTGAGTATCACTTAAACTAAAAAAAAAATCTGTCTAAAAAGAGTCAGGACTCATGCTGATGAAGTTACATTACTATTCTGTTTGTACACGTTATTTTTGCTGTTAATCCTTCTAAGTATCATTCTATTGGATTCTTAGTTTTCTTGACTAATACAGGTTAGACATTTGTCTTAAATCTGTTGTTCTCTTTGATATCTATAGGCTTTCTACAAGCAAAGGCAAGATGTTTCAAGGAAACATTCAGTTTATAGTAATTCTGTAGAATAGATTATAAATGTACGTGAAGCCTCAAGTGAAGACACGAGATCTTGCAAGAATTTGAATCATGAAGTGTACAAACAGAAGTGTAAATACCTGCTATGGTACATCTAAACTTTTGAATAGAGTTTTATTATTATAAACACATTTAGTAAGTTATTCCAATTTAACCCGTCTCTATAAATGTAATACAGTACAAACTGAATTTCACTGTATACAAAAATGTTCACAATGGACCTTTAAAATCCTTCTAAACTAGATGTGTAACACTTTTAAAAAAAAAAGCCAGTACAGTATCACAGTTATGACTATAGGTATACAATAAGGAGAAGTATAGGTGCCATTCATAGGTTGCAGGCACAGAGGCAACTTCATGTTATCTGGCAAAACACAGTAATATGGGGAGTAACTCTTTTCAGCACTGCTGATATTTATTAAATGACTGAGACTGTTAAATCCATTTATGAATATTAATCAATGTAAAGAACAAAACAAAAAATGTATGGAAACATACATCTTAGTGAAAATGAAACATACAAACCAGGAGATAAGTGTATTTCTTTTGTGTGTGCATGTATGTATATATATTTATAAAAACAAAACTACAATAAAGCCCTTCTTCATTAAGACAGCAACAAGACAAAATGGTTACAACTTAATTTTAAAAAAATACCAAATGTTTTCATTTACATGCATAATACTAAATTTGCCCTTTAAATCAAGTATTTAGGACCTATTTTCTTCCTTGCACAAGGGAATCTTACCTATGTAACCCCTCTGAAAGAAAAGAGAAGTCAAAGTTGAAGGAAGTTGCATATATAAATCCCACCTGAACTGAAACCACAGTCTCGTTTTAAAATTGTGCTTTGGAAATTACAAAATGCAACCTAATGCTACTCGATACGTTTTCTTGGGGTGACACCGTAGGGAATCTGCACTTCATACAGAAACTCTGTATCTACATTCACAACACTAAATACACAAAAATTAAAGCTAGGTTAATAAAATATGCCAAGACTAAAATAATTATCTTAAATTCCAGGTTATTAACAATTTTTAGTACAGCTTGCTCATCTCCACCAGAAGGAAAGCACTCTGGAAATGCATCCACCACTCAGCTCAATGGTTACCTCCTATTAATAACAACTATTCGCAAATATCACAAATATTTATTTATCATAAAAGGTAAAAATCCAGTTCAACAAAAGAAACACCTTTGTTAAATCTGTATTTTTATGTTCTGATATTTACAATTAAGAACCACAGTTGCTATCTTTATGCAATTCCAGAAATATTTCTACCAATCCATTTTTTATGACAAAAAGTGGCACATACAGAGATATACTGCCAACTTGATTTCAGCTGCCACATTTCACCATCCTACTTAAGCCTTTCACTCCCCTTCTCTAGGTCGATTACTGCTTTGTGTGTCCCTGTGGGTATGTGAACCCAAGACAACACCCACTTAATACTCAATAGACTAGAGCATTTAGTATCAGAATTTGTTCTCTCCCAAAAGAGTTGGTGACACAAAAGCCTGACTGAAAAACTGACATTTAAGCAATACAAAATTATATTAGGAGTATACTACATTTTATATGATTTCTAAAAAGTTTTGCTATATTTAACTTCTGTAAATGAACTTCCATGAATAAATACCACATACAAGTCTGGGAACTAAATCTGAGGTTAAACGTTAAGAAATGGAAGCTGGGCAGACAGGCAAGTCTGCAAGCTTCAATTTTAATGTAGATGTAATGGGAAATTCTTCTAAAAAGGGAAAAGACTACTGCAGAGCAACTAATAGGTAGGGGTTTTCCCAACTGTCAGATATAAGGAATCATGGGTAGCTTGAATTCCCAATCCTCAAAATGGTGTATATATAATGTGATGAACATTTCTAAGTATTTTTAAGGCTCTCAGCAGTACACTGAAAAAAGTATTATTTAGCATGCTACTCTAGCTATCTGGACATTTGATGCATGCAAGACTGCAGATATATGAAATAAAAGAACACATTAGTTTATAAACAACCAGAAAAGAAACAACTCTTGTGCCATACATTTCCTACTAGTCTTTAGAAAATTACTTCACTATCAGAGGAGGGAGGGAACGAAAAAAGTCAGGGTGGTGGAGAACAACTGATCATAAATCTTATTGAAGATAACAGTTGAATTTAGCTAGAAGGCAGAAGATGCTGACAGGTCACGTTTCATAAAACAAAGAACAAAGTCTGGCTATATTTCCTGAATTTGAGTAAAACTCACTGGAAAAATACCAAAACAAAACAATGCTGTACTTGTGCAAGGACAGCAACTGTATGCACATGCGTTCCCCAAACTGAAATAATCCACACATGACATATGAAGGGCTCAATGCTGCAGTCCTTACACAAGTAGATTTTACAATACAAAATTAGTATTTTAAAGTACAAATAAAAAAATAAATACAACTATAAATTTAATATAATATTCTAAGATTACAAAGACATCAGACCTATCAGTCTGGCTTGCTGCTTTTAAGAACTGGTTTAATTGCATTTCATAAAAACCGCAAACATTAATACCACCTAAAGTTAAAAAGGCAGCACGCAAACTGCTGAAGATAATCACAGAAGTACTCCCTCCCTCCCAAGACCAGTTACCTGTTTGTTACTTACCTATGTCCACATCAGATGCTGCAAGAAGAAAGTGATTCAGTACATACTGCAGGACCATTTAAATGCAGATATTAATGGTGTAAATAATCCCAAACCTACAGTAGTTACTTTTAGTAAGTCAGTAACAGTAAAGTTCAAGAACACAAAACAAATGCTCACCTTCTTTAACGATGACGATATTCTCTCTCTCTGTCTCGTTCTCTGTCACGATCTCTGTCACGATCACGATGCCTCTCTCTTTCACGGCTTCTTTCCCGATAATAGTCATCATGACGATCTCTACTACGTGATTTGTGGCGCCTACTTTTTTCTCGTGACCTACTGTGGTCCCTCTCTCTGGATCGCTCACGTCTTCTAAAAGAAATTACTTCATTAAATTTTTCTTCAAAATGCAAGCCATCCACATGCCAATTTTGTATTCTGTTTACAAGTATGAATTTCATCAAAAAGCATGAGAGAAATAAGCGATGCAGATATGTTTTCGTATATAACATGAAAGATAGTTGGTATCAAAGGTGGTGGCAGAGAACTCTGTTACAGATAGTAAGGTGCATCCACCTTCTAATCTATTAAGGAAAAGTCAGAAAGTACATACCCAGAATGGAGGACAAGATGGCTGAAATTGGCTGGGGGAGTGCACCATACCTCAAACGATCACTACAACATGGCTGCTAATCTGCGTACTGACAATATGTGCCAAAACCAGCTGTCTTAGTGTTTTTAATATTCAAGGCCAACTACACTACCACTACAGTATCCAAATGAACCAGAGGCTCAGTGTTTGTCCTAACTCTGAAAGGGGCGTTATTTAAGTTTTAAAAGAAATACCAATCTCTTATTTGTACTAGGTAGAAGAGTCCATGTTTTCCAAATCTACCTTCTCTTGATTTTTAGATTGTATGACAAAGGACAACAGGCAAAATCATTCTGCCCAACATTCCCCGCCCCCCTCCAACTCAAGTGTATTTCTACTGTGACAAATGTGGAAAAAAATTACTTAAGCAAAATGTGAATTGGCATCAAATATCCTTAACCTTAATTTTCAATAGCAAATTCTAATAAAAATTATGCACTGGACATCTTAATTGATAAAGGATGATTCTATTGTGAAGTCTACACATTGTAAGAGTACCACGTAGGAAAGGATACTAAATAAAACTAAAGAGTTAACCTTAAGCTAGTCAGATCAATTTTGAAAAGAGGGTTAATTAAAAGGCAGCTAAGTTCAGGAAACCCCCGTTTGGTTTTTTCACACACTTCTTGTGCAACTCAGCAAATCACTAAGCTTCCTACATGACTTAGTTTCTTCTCTGTGAACGAGTCCTGCACTACACCTTCCCTTTTGTAAGTAAGGGCAGATGGAAGAGGAAAGTTTTACCTGGATCCAGAACCATAAGACTTGGACTCAATTCCATGAAGGCAGTCCTGAAGAGAGCTAATAAGTACTTTACAGCGATCATCCGCAGATACTTTGGACTGTTTAATTAAGGAAATTGCAGTTACCAAGGTCTCTATAGCACTTCCATAGTCCCCTGAAAATGATATAAGATCATGATCAGAAAATTATGCAAATTAAACAAAAGACTTTTAGCTGCAATAGTATTACCACTTTGAGTATCTTCTCTTCAACAGCCATCCAGATCATTTACTGTAGAACCAAATACTAAAATACTGTCCAGGTAGGTACCCAGAAGGCATTCTCAGAAACTAACTGGAGCACAGTACAAAATCAGTCATAGGTTGTACCTAAATTCAGCCTCCAGTTAGGAAAATGTGGCTTCAGGGCTGCAGATTTCCTAATAGAAAACCTATAAGCTCTTTTCAGTTGGGTAGAATAGCAAACACGTTAATCGAGTTTTACTAACCAGCACTGGCATCTGATACAGCTCTCGAAATGGCACTGCTTGAAATCGCCCTATTTCTATTCATGATTTCTTCAAATTCTGCTTCACTTAGAGGTGTCCTTGCAGCGTCCATTTCTCTGCAAGCAATAAAACTAATATTTAAAAGGTTAAGAAAAACTTCAGAAGATATCATTGCAGTTTTAACAATCCAAGTTTGCAACTTTAAGCAAAGTGACAAACAGAAAAGAAAGCAGGATCTGGGTTTGGTTTTGGTTTTTGTTAAGGACCATGTTACAGTATAAATCCTGAAAGCTAAAAAAAAAAACCCAAAAGAAAAAAAAAGGTAAAAATCAATTAAGACATTGCTGTATAAATAGACTTATTCTTGTTCATCCCATCTACTTGGAAGCACTTAATATTGTGCTTTACAAATATTTGTAATTTTCATAAAATCCTTGAAGGTATGTAAGCAGATATTATCCCAATTGAATGGATGTGGAAATACATGTACATAGGCAATGCGACTTTGAGCAAAGTTAGAGATCATTTTTATAACAGTACTGGAATTAGAACTATATGATCCTGTTTCCCAGATCTTAACTAAGACCAGAATGCTGTAACTTATGAAAAGCAGATACAGTCTATCATCTTTGAAATACTCAATTTTCTGAATGATACTTCAACATTTTACAGCTAATTTTGGTGGGGTTTTCGGGTTTGGTTTTGTTTTGGTTTTGTTTTTATTTCTGGTCAAGTTCAAGGTGCTCCAATTTGATCTCCAAACTGGTCACAGTAAGGAGGAAGCAATAAAGCAGAATCCTCATACTCATCACACTTTTTTTACTTTAATTATTAGCTACCTATATAGGGTTTCCAAAGTAACAGAAGTTAACCTATACAAAAATTTTCCCAAAACTTTTGCAGTGTCCTATTAGCCAGTCTCTGTATCATATAGAAAATTTGGAGAAATGTGTTAGAGACAAATGGTGAGACTGTTAAACTGGCCCACTGCTTGATATTTCTAGAACAGTGTTAGTTCTTCTGGTAGAAAGAAAATGCAGAATAATAAGCAATGCTATCCTCTTAATTGCAAGAAGTGGAACAAGATCCTATAGCCAGTTTAGCATAAGAGGAAATGTCTAAAAATTCATACCTCCCTGAGTTTTGAGTATTATTTTTCGTGTGCCTCCCATAGAATGGAATATGTAATTTTTCTCTTATGGACATGTTATTTCCAGTGAAACGCCTATGATATATAATTAATGACAATTTAAATAGTTATGGATGATAGTTTTAACATTATTAATGAAAATACTGGACAGTAAGTTATACTGTCCTATTCCCACTCCTTCCCTCCCCAGACATTCTATAAACTGCAGACAACCTCGATTTTGTCCATCAAAAAACAACCAACACCTTATCGCTTTACTATATTTCAGGCAATTAAGCCAAATACTTGAATTTCTAGAGTTTCTGTACGAACACAGTATGTACAGATGCGTGGGGGTATTTTTAAACTTTGTGATAAAAGAAGAAACAAAGCAAAGCGTCTTTGCAGAAAACATTTTAAACAGGAGAAGTGTCTAGCAATAAATCACAACTGAAAAATCCAAATGTAACTATGTAAAAAGTGTCTTTCTTACAATTTTTCCCAAAATTTTCTGTGACAAATACAAATATGGTGAAAAATCAAGAAACAGCAGCAAGACAGATGCTTGAAAGCACAGATGCAAAAGAAGTTTCAAACAAGATGTGAAAAACTTGACAAGTCAAGTCAGAGAGACTCAAGACCTCTGTCCCAGACAGAATTAACCATAGAAAAAGCCACTGCTACAAAACACAGCTAGGTTGCACCAAATGAGCAGAAGCATTTTGGCAGGAAAGGAAGGTAAAAGTCTTGCAGTAAATTCACATCTGGCTTTTGAGACAAAGACTAACTTTGAATTGAATCCTGAAGAAAAAAGGGGCAAGCAGAGCTGCTGAAAGATGAAAATGGTATGAGCTTGGTATGGCACTATACTCAGCGTATGCACATATTCAAAAAGGAGGACTCCAGAGCATTCTGGAAAGACAGCTTGCAAAGCACAATGATAAAGGTACAAGTCAGAATGTCAAGTTAAAACAGAAGCACAACCAGAAGCTGCTGCATAAGAAGCGAAATATAAGTTTACATGTAGAACACATGAAATGATGACACTGCCAAATACAAACAGTGAAGACAAAAGTTCAGAGCTGAAAAGGGAAAGCCAGATTACTGGTGTTGCATTTCAGGATTTTTCTTACTGCTACAAACACGTTTCTCAGAGATATTTCACTGAGAGAAGTGAAAAGGGGCAAATTAGAAGCCTGTTGGGATCCCTTCCAGCCCTATTTTTCATTATTTCTAACATTTGTGTTAAAAGGGAGAATAAAATGCTTCCTACAAGAGGAGTAAAATCTGCTACCAAGCACGTTACACTAAAAGCACTCACCTTCCAGGCGGCCCATAGTCACCTCTGTCATATGGTGGAGGTCGGCCATATGGATCTGTCGGAGGTGGGCCACGGCTGTCTGAAGTAGGTATGCCACTATTGGCAGGTGGGGGGAAGAAAGCTGGATTCACATGTGGTGCAGGTGGTGGAGCACCTGGAGGTGGCCCAGGGAGATGTGGAGGAGGAGCAAGAGTCAGGGGTGGCCCAAGAGGGCCAGGCGGACGAGGGGGAAATGGACCCGGAGGTGGAGGTGGACCCTGCTGAGGTGGTGGCGGACCTGGTGGTGGCCCATAGCCTGGAACTGGTGGTGGAGGGCCTGGAGGAAGTGGCCCAAGTGGAGGCTGACCAAAAGGCTGTCCTGGAAACAGAACTGGTGGTGGTGGACGGTCACCACGATTAGGAGGTCCAGCTAATGGAGGTGGGAGGACCTGACCAGGAGGTGGAGGGCCTGGTGGGCCTGGTGGGCCAGGAGGACCTAAAGGTGGACGTGGGGGAGTTTGTCCAGCTAAAATAAAAAAAATAAATAAAAAAACAAAATAGAGTTAATAAATATAAAGAAATATAAGACTTAGAGAAATAATTAAAACTCTTGACTTTTTTATTGTTAAAAAACAAAAAAACCCAAACAAACCCTCACTGAACAATTTGCAACTTACACAAGACACGCATGGTCCCACTTTGGGTCCAGTAGCTTAGAAAATTTTTAAGAGTTGCTTGACTATCAACATCTAAAGAGAACAACATTAACTCAAAAACTGACAACTTGCCCCCCAATCATTTAATCACCCGCTATTGTTACCAAAAGCCCCAAAAGCTTACAAAAAATAGAAAGAAATGCATCCTACTTACACCTGTAGCTAGTCTTTCATATGGGGCATAAGATACAATATATATTAAAAATATGGGAAAAGCTATACTGGAGAACACAAGATAAATGCAGTACCCAAACCTACTTTCAGGTCCTCATTAGCGGTTTTTCAATTTTACCATGTCCCTTTGACTGTTAGTAGGTAATCTACTACTGAATGACATTTATTAAAAATACTTAAGCTGAAATAAGAACTTTACTGCAATGCAAGCTGATTGTTGAAGAGATTTCTCCCATATCAGATACCTGACTAAACATGAACACCTCCTCTTCAAATTTGTGGTATTCTAAGTGCCAACTAACTGACCTGTCAGTGGGCATGATTCGAAGCTGAATTTCTGATGATGTGCAAACTTGTAATGCAGTAAGGACAAGAGTTACACGCTGCAACACAGGCATTCTCACCCCATATAGCAAATCAGAAAGTATGAACTACACTGCACTAAAGACAAGTCTACTTGCTAACATGATCTATCTTAATTGTTTTCATACTTTAAAAATACATACATTGACACATTATAAAGCATGTCTCTAAAAATGTTATTAAACTGCTATCAAATTTAGGAAGTACAACTCCCTGTTTGAATATCAACAAAGAAATATTGTCAAATCCTACACTGCAGCTGTGAACACTGATTATAGCACATTACTGAATTGCCTTGATCTTTATAATTTCCCACATAAGTATGCCACATTAATACAAGAACACACAAATGAAACTGAAACTCCACATATGAATTATTTTACCTGGGAAAGGTGGTGGTGGCCCTCCTGGCCCTGCCGGTCCAGGGAATCTGTCTCCACCTGGAATGGCACCTGGAAAACGGCCTCGCCCTCTATTACTAGGTGGAAATGCTGCTCGGGAGCTTCCTCCTGGGGGACCAGCTTTACCTTCCCCAGACATCTGGCCAGACTGTGTGGCTGCAATGGAAAAGCAAAAGTGTAATTACATAAATCAAAATAGGTTAAGGCTTTTCAACACTTCATCTAAAGTTTTATGCAGCACTAAAGCATGACCTTATAAGCACCAACTTGTTCCTCGGTACCCAAACCCAAAGCATTTGGGGAGGAAAAAGTGCTTTGCTAAAACACGACAGTGTTCCAGTATGCCCCATGCTAATGGAATAGCAGCCAGTGAGACTGTCAGTCCTTCCTTTAATGCAGCCCAAGCCCACAAACTATCAGGACCGGGAACCACAAGACAAGGTGCTGGAGGAAAGCACAACACAGAATCTTTCTTCCCCATTCTGTCATAAGCACAGCCTGTCCAGATATCAGAATTTAATCCAATTTGTCTATAAATGTTAAATTCCTAAATGCTATTGTGCTTTTTTTTTTACAATTACATCCACAAGAAATTGAGAAAGCTTCTCCAACTGTAAGACAAGAGTTTCACAAAGCTGCAACCGTCTTTAAGCAAGTGCTATCTCTTGCCAAAACAGCAGCTCTTCAGTGTATTAAGTAGGTTTTTTTATTTTTAAGAGAATCATCTTTAAACAAAGATGCAACTTCATTCACCTGGACTGTAAGTATTTTATAGCTATTTTAAACTGCATATAAATTATCAGATGCTGAGAGAAAAACTGCCATACTACTTTTGGAATAAAATTCCAGTTTTCCAAGACAGCACACCAGAAAGGCTTACTTTTCCTTGACTGCATTTCAAACTGACTCAGGAACTGTTTGTTACACGGAGTTACAACAGGATTCTGCCCGTGCAATTCTCTTTTAGGCAACAAATCCATCAACTTTTTGGAGGATGCTTCTGATCCCACACCCACAAGGGCAAACCTGAAAGAAAAAAAAAAAAAAGTTCTATCACCGTTTTTCCATTTCCTGGATATCCTGATGACTCGTGAAAAAGGTTACACAGAGTCAGCAAAAAAACCCTTGAAAACTAGATACAGAAACTGTCTCACAGGTCTTAGTCCATTTTCAGAACAGATAAAATAACTCATTCTAGAACATACAAGAATCACCAAAAGTGCAAGTACAAGATGCATCAAAATATAACACAACAAAGGCAGCTTCTTGGTAGAGTATAAATACACTATATATGAATTCATATGACCAAGTTATTATTAAGCATTCACTGTGTTCTCAGTACTACTTCGGAGAGAGGAAGGCACATTTATGGAAGGAAGATCAGGTTGCCAGTGGAAAATGGGCTGAAGCACTCACTTTCAACAGTTAATGGAAAAATAAAGATGTAAAGAAATGGAGGTTGGGGGAAACTGTATTTACACTATGAAGAACAACAGTTATCACCACCACACTAAGTGATATCTAGGAATAGTCGTTATGAAGATGGCCAACAAGATTTAACTCGCAAAATGACGAGGCATACAATACAGTAATAAAAATTTATGCCTGAAATTTAACTCATTAGTATGAAATTATGTACCCAATCATTGTTGGATATCAACAAAGACTATCACTTTACATACTGACAGTTACGAAAAATTAGAACTTTCCCCATTTCCACCTTCCCAAACTTCACTCCATTTGCAGAAAAAACAAATGACAAGTTCTTACCCTTTAGACTGGCCATTAGCACGATTTTCAAAAAATTTTATCTCCAAAATATCATTTACCCCCAGTGAATGAACTGCTTCAGTTAAGTCTTCATCTGTTGTCCACTGAAAAATATTTTTAATATTCAAATATGAAAGTTTATCTAAAACACCAGGAAGAGAGCAACTAAGTTTTCCCTGGATTTTGTGTGTGTGTGTGTGTGTGTGTGTGAAATTGGTCAGGCTGCCAATATTTCCTGACTTCTGGAGCACAGTCATTTATATTTTACAATTATCAGAAAATTAATTTTGAAAATATACACACTTCCCCATATGCTACATTGCATCAACCCCTCCACACAGTATACCAGTTACAGTACGCCAAAAAAATTTGAGTAACTTTTGTCTTCTAAGGGTACAAGGTGTAAACTGGACTATTTCAGTAACTGTTACTTTTTCCACATCCAATCCATTTTTTCCTCCCACAAATTCTATTATTTCCACACAAAAATAAATTTTAAACACCATATTAACCAGGTGCTCTTTATGAGAGCTTTGAAAAGTGAAGAGTTTAGTGAACTACATATTATTTGCACAAAAATAGCAGCATTTACAGACAGAAGGGAAACTAGTACAGAAACAACTGCTTCCACTTAACCAAACCTACTTGCTGTAACTTCCTGCTAATTACTATGTAACGTTTAACAACATCACTCATATCCAGATACACAAATACACTAACACTTATGGTTTTCTTCCTACTTCTGTAATGCCACCACTTCTTTGAATTTCATATGGGAAGTGCAAAGCAGGCTTTCAAGATTCTGAGCTACTTAATCTGATCTCCCTCAAATCAAAGCCTTTTAAAAAAATCCGACAAATTACCTGACTGAGATTTGAACGCAAAGAAAACAAACACACTTTTTGTGGATAACTTCATTTGTGAAGCCAAATAATAACAGGTACAAATTGCTGAACATTGGCCTACCTGCTTTAGAAACTGTGACATTTGACTTGCATGAGTTCAGCTAATTCATGTGCATTTTACTAATTCCATTCATAGATTTTAGAATGGTACAACTGTTAAGTCAATGGCTCCTTTACTTACCTATTAGCTCCTGAAATTAGGATACTGTAATAATTAATGAAAACACATCTAAGCACCCATAAAGCATTCTTTTTCAAGTTTAGCACTAGTAAGAAATTAATCAGAAAGGAAAAAACTTCGAAATGAGAATTTTGTATGTGTGGACCTGAAATAACTGGATTTCAGATAAGCAGATAAAAACTCCAGTTAATTCACCTGCTGACCAGCTCTTGCACTTTGTTTGCTTAAGTGCAATTGATTTTAAAATGCTTTAATGCTAACAAAAGCAATTGTCTTAAGGGCAAGTGCAGTTCAGCGAGTTATCCCAAACCTGTTACTCCTAGGACCGCCTCAAGGCAAATACCTGAAAACAGCTTTGTTGTAAGAGTCATTGCCCTGCAAAAATGGAAGTGGGAAAAGGCCCTACAGAAATGCAAAGCGACATTTCAAGAAAATCACAAAGAACCTTGCAGCTCCTTTTTAAACTAAAAACTTCAGCAAGTTTACTAAAAAGTGGGTTCATTCAGTGCCCTGAAAGTATCTGCAGGCACAAGCTATTTCATGGTTTAAACTTGTTCTACTCTCTCATTCAGTTCTCTGAAAACCTTAAGAAGATAGTAGCACAAATATCCCTTCCTAACACTTAAAGCAAGAGAGGAAACTTTAAAGTTTATATTTACTGAAGATCTCCTCAGTTTTTTTAGACATCAAGACAGCTCCAGGCAGGCTCACTAAATTTCAGGTAAATGGGAAAAAACCCAACACAAAAGCCTCCTTTGCTGTATTCTTGATATTTCATATAAAAATTTTTAAGCCAAAAAATATTTACAAATAATTATGTTCATAATTTTAAAATTCCTGGCTACACCTAAATAGTAATAACATACTTACCCAAGTAAGATTTCCAATGTACAAGGCAATTCTCTTTCCAGTATATGTATAGACAACATTTGGTGCAGCTCCTTTACCTACATCATCCCCAACAGATGGTGGAAGAGAATCCATGTAATCACGATCTTCTGGGGCATCTCCATTATTTGCAGATGGAGAAATTACATCATCATATAAATCAATCTGATCATGTCCACCATATTCAGCTTCCTAAAATACAAAAAACGCCTTGATTAGATTTAACATTAAACACTCTCAAAACTTACTTGAAACAAAATGCTGTGATAATTGCCATGTTCCACAGACATGGGAAGTCTGACCCAACAACACCTACACAACATACTCTGCTGAAAAGTTAAGCCCCAGTTTCATCCACATTAAAGTATATAAAGTTCTTATGACTTCTATTACATTCTAAACTGATGGGGGGGAATCAAGAAAAAATACTTCTGGCCACTGTTTTGCATTGCAATACTTTTGCCCTTGTAATATAAACAGAAATCCAAAAACCCACAAGCCCTACTCCCAGAATTATAGACATTAGCAAGCATGAACAACATGCAAAATGAGAGGCTAACATCCACTCTCAAGCAAATCTTTTTTCCATCAAAACATTTGGTAGACCAAGAAGCCCTACTGACAACACAACATTCCACTTTCAGGTTTCTACTGCATTCCTAACTTGACTTTTACCTCCTCGTTCACAGAGGGGCCAGACAGGGACAGGATTCTGTTCGGTTTCATTAAATTTAATAAACCCAAGGGTTTGTGTTTATTAAACATTTATGTATTCATGGGCTACAGAGGGACTATTCTACAGCATCATGACTGCCTCTGGAACATTTTGGTTCAGAAAAGCATCATGGGGTTTTGGAGTGAATCACTCCCTTCTCCCTTGGGTTGGTACAGGTTACAGCACAGTTCTGGCCAAGTGAACTAGATTCTTCTCAGAGGGAATGCAAACAAGCGTTTCCTTCCAGAAGCTCTGCCTTCATGTGCTCAACAACTACATCCTACCTGCTAAATGGAAACAGACAGGTCACGATCAATCAGTGGTCCTTCAGGCAGCTTTGACTCGTAAGTGTGGTAGGAATATTTGGTCCAAAGGGCCAGACTAAACTTAGTCTGAAGCAGACTATGCAAACGGTGTGTCAGGTAGACAGAGGGGCCTGAGCACCAACTGCCTCAATCTCCTGATGTGCTATTACCAAGCCATATCATTTTTTATTATAAAGACAACTGTACTGTCATCACCAAAGACAGACAATTAAGAGAAACATGTTGACTGTAAATGATAACAATCTCCTTCACAAAAACATGCAAAAACTTTTTTTTAAAAACACATTGTAACCTTAATCAGTGGGATTGCTTAATTCCAAACATGAATGAAGCTGGGCATTGTGTATTTGCATTAAGGAACTAATTTTAAAACAAAGACTTCTTTTGATACTTGCCATTTTTCATCTTGTATACTGTCACTCATCATATTCAGTGATGATCAATTCCACAATGGGATGCTGCTATCCTTTTTTACTATCCTAGCAATCACTTACTATCAAATGGCCCAATCTGTGTGACAGAGAGGCACCATCTAAATGTCTACTGACAGGAAGGCAATAACTTCTCAGTGAACAGCAGGGGTCTAACAAATCTTAAGAGAACCTAGCAGTGTTTAAAGTTAACCTTCAGCTTTTATATTGACTTTCACAGATTGCTTTGCAACATCCAAAAGTTGGACTTCAAATGCCTGCAGAGGGTTCCTGAACCCTTCCACCCTGATCCAGAACAAAACCCGCCTTACCAGGTTTTGATATCAGAGATATTTCAGCAAGCACCATTTTGTGAATTCGTACCTAGAAACCCCCACAAGCATCCTAGACAGATGAGTTCAATGTACCAGGTACGGCAACTAGAAAGAATCAAGTTGGATTCCACAGAAAACAGGCTGCTAAGCCAGCAATCTTGACTGAAAACCCAATATATGCACAGCCATCATCAGGTAATCAGCTGTCTTGAAAATATGAAAATATTATGAACCGCTACTCATACAGAGAGTATCAGTAAAACAAAACAAAAAAAAATAAAAAAGACAAAAACCCAAACAAGAAAACCAGATAACTTAAGTTTTGGCACTGTCAATCAGGTAGATTTGATCCTCAGTAAACTGCACTGTTCCAATATACCATAAACTTCAACAAAAAATTATCTCTCTTCAGGTAAGTTTATAATCATTAAATTAAGTAAGGGTTTCATATTTTCACCTAGCCTGCCCAGTTCTCTGTCTCGGTTTGATTCCTCCTATCAATACAGCTAATGAATGTAGGTTCAAGGAACTGCCTGGGACAGGCCTAAACATGACATCTTACAGCAAGACTAAGGATGATGTCACAAGGCAATTAAGGAAATCCTGTGTTAAACGTGCAGAAATTCTAGTAATCTGTGTGCATGGATGATGACTTCAGAGAAGTAGAATTTAGTCTTGGTAGACAGATCCAAACAAGCAGCCACCAGTCTTACAGCAGATGTACACTCACCTATCTCTCTGAGAAGGCTGAGGTCAGAGCTGCCAAAATGCCAGAGCAGGCAGCAGTCCACAGCTCTGCTGCACTTCCCTAGTGGCAAGAAACTCCTCTGAAACAGACCAAGCTTCTATCACATAGGCTTTCAGGTTGCCACCAAAGGAGTGAGAGAATTATCAGGGCAGCGCAGTCTGCATGTAATTTGGGGGGG